AACTCTACAAATAAGAGCACTCATCAACAAATGTAGACTACAACTCAATAAATGTTAGTATTAAGCAAGATTTTCTCTGAACATATTAACATGATGGATGTTACTGAAATGCCCTGACCCAGAATAGGAACAGTGTATATGCACCCCAACAGAACATTACACTATAGTAATGCTTATATCCATGTAATAGACCTTAAATGGATATTTGCAAATATTTGAAATTTGCAGCATTTCTCCAATGAAATTTCAAATTTGAGATTCTCCCTGAAAATATGTGTTTCAAGTATAGAATATAATTCTATATTTGTCTACTCAAAAGTAAGCCCAGATGAGGTAAGTGAGATTTACTCCCATGTAAGTGAATAAATATTCAGTGGGGCTTAGTTATACTAGTAAGTAAATATTACCTATTAACCAGTCAGTCCTAGAGGAGATCAACCCTGACTGTTCCTTAGAAGGCCAGATAATGAAGATGAAACTCAAATACTTTGGCCACCTAACGAGAAGGAACAACTCATTGGAGAAGACCAAATGGAGGCCAAATGTTCTCAAAAGTCAGAGAATTCTGATGCCCAGGATTTCCTGGTAAGTAAAGAATTACTGAAAAGATTTGCAGGCCCAGGAAAGAGAGAAAAATGAACAGTGCAGGACGTGCCTACGAGCTCATTATCGAGCCTATGCTGTGGCGGTGAGGGCAGTGAAGAAGAAATTCTTCTCCACTTCCATTGCCTCCTCACAGTGCTGTCCAGCAGAGCTCTTTCGAGTGGTACGTGGGCTGATACATCCTGGCCCTAAGAAAGATCCTGTACCACCTTCGATGGCCCGCTGCAACGACTTTGCCCAGCACTTTAAGGAGAAAATCACTCAGATTCGTCATGAGCTGGACTCCACAAGTGATTCAGTTCCTTTAGGGGAGGTGCCAATGACTCTGTCTGGTCAGGTATTATTGGATGAATTTCAGTTACTGCGGCCTGATGATGTGGACAAGGTGCTTGGACAAGTACATCCCACCACCTGCTTACTTGACCCTTGCCCGTCGTGGCTGCTGTCCAAAGCCAAACATGGGATTGGTGCCTGGGTCCTGGAGGTTATTAATGCCTCTCTGAGGGACGGCCGGGTGCCCGCTCCTTTAAAGGAGGCGGTAATCAGGCCTGTCCTAAAGAAGGCATCCCTGGATCCAGAGATGGCCAATTATAGACCGGTGGCCGACATCCCGTTTTTGGGCAAGGTGTTGGAACGGGTGGTGGTGGGACAACTCCAAGCACTCTTGGATGAAACTGATTATCTGGATCCATTTCAGTCCAGCTTCAGACCCGGGTTTGGTACTGAATCTGCCTTGGTCGCCCTGTATGATGACCTGTGCAGGGAGAGAGACGGGGAGTGCGTCCCTGTTGGTCCTCCTGGACCTCTCAGCGGCTTTCGATACCAGCGACCATGGTATCCTTCTGGATAGGCTGGCAGGATTGGGAGTTCCGCTCCTACCTCGACGGCCAATTCCAGAAGGTGGTGCTGGGGGACTTTGGCTCTGCACCATGGCAGTTATGCCATGGAGTACCGCAGGGTTTCATCTTGTCCCCCTTGCTATTTAATATCTACATGAAACCGCTGGGAGAGGTCATCAGGAGGTTTGGGCTGTGAAATCATCAGTATGCTGATGACACCCAGCTCTACCTCTCTTTTTCAACTGATCCAGGTGAGGCAGTGGCTGTACTGAACTGGTGCCTGGCCAAGGTAATGGGCTGGATGAGGGCCAATGAACTGAAACTTAATCCAGACAAGACGGAAGTCCTGTTGGTGGGTGGATCGAGCTCCTGGGTAGGTGGCCTGGACCTTGCCCTGAATGGAGTTGCACTCCTAAAGGTCCGGGACCGCAGCTTGGGAGTGCTCCTTGACCCGGAGCTGTCCTTGGAAGCCCAAATGACCGCGGTGGCGAGGAGTGCTTTCCTTCAGCTTCGGCTAATCTATCAGCTGTGTCCCTACCTGGAGGAAGACTGCCTAACAACAATGACACATGCATTGGTTACTTCCCCATTGGATTTCTGTAACGTGCTCTACATGGGGCTGCCCCTGAAGACAGTCCGGATACTTCAGATGGTGCAAGACAGAGCAGCCAGGTTGCTGACGGGGACTGGGTGTTATTCTCACATAACCCCAGTCCTCTACCAGCTTCATTGGCTTCCCATCGAAGTCCGGACTCAATTCAAGGTGCTGGTTATTACCTATAAAGCCCTTAACGGCTTGGGACCTGGATACCTGAAGGAACACCTTCTTCCATATTTGCCCCCCCCCCCCCCCCGAGATCGACAGCAGAGGCTCTCCTCCGGGAACCCTCCTCCTGAGGCAAAGTACCCGGAGGAGGGCTTTCTCTGCAGTGGCGCCCCATCTATGGAATGTGCTCCCCAGAGAGGTCCGCCTGGCGCTGTTGTTATTTGTTTTTTGGCACCAGGTTAAAACCTTTTTATTCCAGCAATATTTTAATAAGTTTTAATATTGTCTTTTCTATGTATTTAACTGCAGCCAGTGTGGGTTGGGAATTTATTTATGTTGTATTTTATGCTGTAAGCCGTCCTGAGGCTTTTCGCGACAGGACAGCATATAAATATTTTAAATAAATAAATAAGAAAGAGCTGGATATATACCTACCTGCATGTCCAGTTAAAACAGGAGAGCTATGCAGCCACCAGCCAGAACAGTTGCAAAGGGACTGAAGGACCATGTGCTTAGCCCCACTTCGAGGGTGCATTTCGAGGCTGCTTCCAGTCCCTTGCATATAAGATGGCTGCAGCAGGGAGTCTGTTGTAATCATACAGGCTCCCCATGTGATTTAGAACTCTCATTTTATAAGGTTCTTACAGTAGCAGTGAAACCCCTTTGTATAATTCTCGTGTTGCTCTATTGCATAAGTGATGACTGCATGAAGCTAAATGTGTTCTTTGAGCATGGTTCTATTAATACCCATAGCTTAAATTAGAGAAATTTGCTCAACATAGTTTCCTTTCCCAAAATTCATTTCCACTCTAGTTTACATAAGTAGGCTCAGGCTGTAGCTCTGTGCCCACTAACCAGAATTTGTACCTGAGGAGAGGGACTTAGTATGCAATTCCTGACCTGGACTGATCATTAAATTCAATTGCTTATCATTCTATGGCTCAAATTGTGTGGTGTGAGATGACAGAGGCATTTTGTTGTTTTAATCTGTGCCTCCTTATTCCAACACTGCAATTTTTACAAAGATGTCTAAAGCTCTAATTTTTAAAAATATCATTCATCTTACTTTCTTAAATTAAACAAGATATGGCTATTTCATGCAACTAACTAGTAATGTCCCAACATTTGCTTTCCCAAATGATAATAATTTTTTTTTGGTAGCAGTTCTGAGACACATCATTCAGCAATCAACAAGTGCATCATTAGTTCCATTCCCTACTTTGTGCCAGTTTAATATATCCCTCCCACTCAAAATAGTTTGTAGCAGAAACTGAATTTTGGTTATTTCCTTAATATTGCTGATCCCCCAAACTATGCATGGATATCAACAGTTTATGTGTATCAGACCCCCTTCCTTATTATTAGATTGCTACCAAGAGGTACTCATATTAGTTTTCTTGAGCCTCCATGAGGTTCCCCTTAGTCCATAAATACTGCCACTATTTTCTGAAATCTCCTTCCACAAATCCATTTTGGGTGCAATCCTATGTCTTCCCAACATTACCTAGGGGTGCACTGGTCCCATCTCTGAGGTCTTGAAGGTCCTCACAGCCAGCACTGAAAGAACCATGCTGGCTGCCTCTCTGAGGTTATAAATCAGCCCCAGAGCAGGGAAGGGGCCTATGGGGCTGGGAGGAGAACAGGAGCCAACAACGTCTATCATATCCAAACAATGCCCTAACCTCTTTCCCTCCCCCTCTGCAGCACTTCAAAGGGCAGTCAAAATGGCCAATGCAATTTTGCAATCCCTCCTTGGATGCACACAAGCCTCCAAGTTCATAGGCTTAGGTATATCAAAGTCAGACAACATAGGTTCATGCCTTCTGTAAAATAGCTTTTTTTTTTTTTTTTTTTTGGTAAAGTTTATCTCATTTAGCATCTCATAGAATCTGGAAATCATTTCTTTGACTCAAAGCCTTTTTTAATATTTTATCTAATCTTTTAACCATCGATACATGAATTATCCATAGCAAGGAATATACAGTATCTTAAATGCGTATGTGTAAAAATACAAATTCTTAGCAACTATACATAGCCATCAACAAAAGCGGACCAGGTAGCCAAGTAAGAATCCGTTTGAAGGTGGTGTGTATAAGCCGCTTATTCATATATTGAGAGCATTATAAGGCCTTCAATCCATTACTCTATAGGAGGTAAGCATTTACCCTCCCATCTTGTAATAACTGTCAAAAGCTTTAGCTGTCAAAAGGGTGCAGAACCTCCATTTATGCTGACAGTTCATTAATTTCTGTGAAGATTGTAAATAATTTACCATGGTCATCAGTGAATATTAAAGACAGTTCCAGTACAAAATTTATCGGTATAATCTTGTTTTCCTAAAAAAAATTAACTACTGGGCATTGCTAAAGAATACATTTAGAAGAAGCGTTACTGCTCTTCACTAAAAACATTTTGCCCAAATAGACAATTCTTTATTAAAGAGTCATGGTGTCCAGAAGACACAAACACAGCTTTTGCTGAATAAGACACAACCTAAGATCTGTAAATGTACCTGAGATAGATTCCAAAGTTGTGATCTACTGTTTAGGCAGAATGGGACACTCTAATTTCCTATTCCATTCCTGCTTAAAACCCCATACACCATGTCTATTCAGCTGTATCAATTATGCATAGACCCCAATTATCTCCTCAGAATTAAATAGTGCTCTCAAAATATTTCCATTTAGTTTTCATTTCTGATTCATTGATGTAATGGAAAATACAGCCAACAAGGGAAGCATGTCTTATTTCTTTTTCTAACTTACAGAGGGATTGATTGATTTATTGCCCGAACAAGGAGCATTGGTGGCAATTCTAGCAAACTGGAGCCATCACCACACATCTAGTAGTTTTCAGGGAAAAAGTTGAAGATTGATGTCTGAGTGTAAACTACTGTTGCCAGACACCCACAATAACAGTTGGCTATAAATATTGTTACCAACTCAGGCCAAGACTTAAAATAAAACATCTAAGTTTCTCTTCTCTTCTGTGGATTATTCAACTTGAGTGTGATTGCAAAAGAAGTTTTTTCACATCTCTTTTGTTTGAATTTCCTGTTCCTCCTGATTTATAGCCCTCCTATAAGGGCTCAATGTTAATATTACTAAAATAAATGATAAAGAAAAATAACTGCTTTAAGGTTGTATCTAATCGTGATGTTTTGTCAGAGGAAGGAAAACCACTGATAAAACAGATTTCCCCCAAAGGACCAGAACCAGGAGGAGGGAAAGAAAAAATGCACAGAGGTGCTTTTGCATAAGTGGACTTCCATGCATTATATTGGTACCAAGTCAGTCTCTGCTATGCAATTTAGAACTAAACTATATAAAATTAATCAAACCCAAGCACTGCACTTTAGACTAGGATCTCAAGCCAATCACCCTTCCCTTTTGGAGCCTGACTAACCTTGCTTGCTATGCATCTCACTCCATCTGGGTTATATTTATCTGATCAGTCCTACTTCATATTTCTCACAAGGCTACCAAGGGGCCAGCCAAGCAACCACAGTGTATTTATCAAAGGACAAATGCTTTCAGATGTGAACGCTAAGAATCTGGATAATTATGGGTGTAGCTAACTTGGTTGATTTTATGCCACATGAAAGTACTTGTAGAGCAGTTAATACATTAAAATAGCATTGTGCAACATTATGTTTGATGAAACACTTGCCAGTTTCATTGATTGAAACTGGAATTGCATGCACAGGACTTTTTTCAAGCATCTAGGCCTATGTATGTCTCTAAATGGGCCAAAGTCTTCTTTACTCATATTTAATTGTCTTCTGACCCAAATGAAGAAATCATAACTACTCCCATTTTACAAATGGAAGAATTTAGTCCAAGAAATGGTGGCTAGCCAGTGCTTACTAAGCAGGGTCCTGGAAGAGTTTGGCTAGCAATGAAACAGCAATCCTTAGAAACACAGGCCTGTCAAAAGCCCTGTTAAGTTCCACTGAAGCTATTTCAGCTAAATGGTTAGCATCACCGCCCTGGTCTCAATTCTAGACTTGCACAGTGATACTAAGCATGTTTACTTACCCAAAATAAAAAACAAGATACATGGGGTTTGGGCTTCATGTGGTGCTTTCATTGTTATAGTGATAGGGTCAGTGGTTTAAATCTTCCTTTCTTTCTGATGATGGCAAGCTGATTTTTTTATCTTCAGAAAACATCTGGAAAGGAGCACTAGTTCAGTTCTGGTACGCATGATTTAGATGTAGATAGTCCCATGTCCAATCTCCAGGAGAAAGGAACTTCAGTAGCACTACTAGGTGGGTCTCCTAGCAAAGATCTTGGAAAAATTCTGCCAGTCAGAATCAACAGTTGATCAAATTGATTAACCAACTGATCAATTGTCTAACTTAGTACAATAAGTCAGTTTTATGGAAATATGAATGACAGCTTTGTTATTGGCTGGGTTCACACTACACTACACGTGACTCTATAATTTCCATGCGTCACAATTTTTTAAGTAGATGCACCTTACAGATGATCAGGCTCACTGCGGTAACTCTCCCTCCCGCCATCTCCCTCCCTCTCAGTCCTCCAGGTGATATCCCAGCAGCACTTGCATGGGAGGGGCAGTAGAGGAATCAGCTGAGTGACACTACTCCTTTCCCAGTGCCAACTAGCTGATCATCCACTTCTGCCCCAAAGATCATCTTTAGGGCAGGAGACAGGCAAAGTGTGGCAAAACTGCAGTGGTACTCCGGCTACTTACCTCACAAGAGCAGTGACGGGCGCTCTTGCTAGGTGGCTCTATGGTGTTGGCCTTGGTTCTACAATGAGCTGTGTTTTCCAGACAACACATTAAGGCGCTGTGGTACCAAGATACCATACAACAAACTATTATTCCTGTTTGTGGTTTCTAAAAGCACAGTGTGCTGTGCTGAAATACCATGATGGAGTTCAGATGACACAGCAGATTAACAAAGATTAAAAAAACCCAAATCCTCCCATTGCTTGTTGTGTCACGCTAACCTGCCCATTGTGTCAGTTCGTCTTTTTGCTTGCTTCATTGGGTATTTATCTTTAATTTCCTCTCATGCAAATACTACTGACAGCAATATGGATTTGACCTCTATACTTTCAAATACAGTATTCAAGTGTATCAAAATGATCAAACCAAGGTGTTGCATGCATTCTTTATACAAATATACCACTAGCACTTATGTGATCTAAAGTGTCCTTCTCAATACCACTCTGCTCTGGGAAAGTGGTGGGTGTGGGAACAGGAGACAGGATTAAAGACGATTAGTAGTGACATGCAGGAGCAGTGCCACCCCAAGGCATTTTGCTGCCTGTGGAGCCCAAATGCCCCGTCCCCTGCTAACGTCAGCACTTGAAAAAGTCTTTTTGCACCATTCAGAAACCCAGTCCCAGCCTTTGCTTGTGTCCTTGCCCTGCATAGTGCAGGTGTTGTTATACTTCGCTGCATAACAGGACCAGCCATGAACGGAAGGAAGGATTCTTACTCATTTACCAACATGCCACTTTCTCCCAGAAACTCCCCTGCGCACTATTGCAGCTCTGTATTGTTGATGTCCCTGCTAGCCAGGTGACGTACAGACCTCTAAACCAAATGCCAATAAGGTTCAGCAAGGCGGAGATTCATTTGGTTCTTTGATTCAGCTGGGAAGCAACAACACCCCACATTCCATCAACACATCCTTCTTATAGCTTTTCTTTTTCTTACTTTTTCCCCCACACAATCTCACCCCCATTGTTCCCTCATCCAATCACCTCCCAGGGTCTGCCTGACCCTTTGCCCAATCCCCTTACGGGGTCTGCATGTCCACTGCATGCCTGTCCTCGGGGAAGAGGCTCTCTCCATCCAATCCCTTCACAGACGGAGCGTGATCACGGCGTGCCAGGCCTTGCGTAGGGAGTCCTCCTCTTCACACTACCCCTTTCTCTGGGGGGTCCTCTTCTTTACACTACCCCTTTGTCTTACCTTATCAACATTCTTTAGCCCCCTCCTTTTTCTTCTCCAAAGCAAGCAGTTATACAAAAACCAAATGACATTAATTGAGCTAACCAAGCTTTCAAGCAAGCAGCTTTCTACAAAAGCAAATAGCGTTAGTTTAGCTAGAACTAAATAATGTTAGTTAAGCTAATCAGGCTCCTTCATTTCCTCCCTTTTCATATATGCAACCCTGGAGGTGGCCTCCATGGGTTGTCATTGAAGCAAGGAAGAGCATTCCCTTGGGACACATCTGAGTACCAGGGTTTTTGCCGGGTCATCAGGTTTCTTTGGGTTGGTTGTAACCACCATCATACCTTCAATAGTGCAAGTTACTATAGACTGAATTATGGGAATTAAGCAAGGAAGGAGCATAAGTCCAACAAAGGCACACATCAGCATAAACAGAACTTGTTTCCAATCTCGGAACAGCCCTCCAAAGATTCCAGGCTGTACCAAGTGGCACTTACTAGCCCCATTTGTGTGAATAATGCATAGCTGTCAGCATCCACATGTGGCTGGCCATCCAACTGCAGGCTACGGCTTTTCCAGTTTAGCAGAAACAAAACCACATGCCAGCTACTGCACCAAATTCTCTCTCTCACACACACACAGGGAACCTATTCCAGCATGTGCCAATTGGCTGTAAGGATGTTGCTAGTCCACCATCATCACCCCAACTGGTAGAGTGCTTTCAGTGGTCCTTACCTGCAGTGGCTTCACATGGAACTTGTTTTCCCTAGGGACCTGTGGAACACATATGATTTCTTTCCTTTAGCTGATCTGGGACAGCATGTGCCTGCCCTCCTGTAACCTGCATGTCTGTTTTACCTGGTCCTTGGTGTGAATCCAGACATATAACATGTTCCAGGTGTAAGAAATTCATGCTGGGTTTTCCCCAGCGCTACTAAAGCATACACATTCTATTACACAACGAGGCAGTACTCTAAAAGGGAAAACTGAAAAATTAGGAAATCCACTGTTTCCTTCCTACAAGGACAAACGGTATAGAAGGGAGTAACAAAATTAACAGTAGTACACAGAGACAGCCAGAATAATAACTTCAAGAAACTCCCCCTTTTTCCTTCAGCATTATCATCTAGGCTACTTAGCATTAGGCAAATGCTAGTCTCTTTGGTCTAAGTCTTCAAGCCAGAACCCGAACCTAGTCCCCGATAGGCTGCATTTCTTCGAGGCTCTTCTTCCTTGCCCCCTCCAGTTGTGAGCCCTTGGCTGACCCTGATGTCAGCTTCTTCTCGTCCTGGTCTGTTATGTCACTGGTCCTCCCTTGCAGGGTTGGAGTTTGAACAAGAACTTCAGGTTCTCCACAGGCTCCATGGTCCTTCGGTCTCCTTGTGGTTTTTGGAACTTCCTCAGCCTGGTGCAACATTCCCATGTAGGCAGTCCCACTGATCTCACTGCTGTGTAGCGAGGGGCACCTAGGCGTGGTCCTCCCTCGGCATCAGTGGTCTTCAGGCAGTCCAGTCTCAGGCGAGCCGGCTGATGTAAGCAGGCAGTCCCCCTTCCCTTGTGTCATGGCAAGCCATAGGCAGCAACCAGCCAGTGGCCACAGCTTCACACACTGCAGTCAGTAAAACAGGCATGACTGCTTTGGCCTTGCTGGACAGCCAGCATGGCCACTCTGGGCTCAGAAAAGGAGTACTACTGGCCAGCTAGTCGTTTTTGTGTGGTTTGCATCTTATGTGTGGTGACCCAATGAAATCCAGCAGATGTGAAGTCTGTGACTTCAGTGGCAATTAAAAGGTTGTTCATGTACTGTAGTAAGAACAGCATTAAAGTCTCTGGTCCATCTAGGCAAGTCCCTAACCAATGTTTGAGAGAAAGGTGGGTGAGTTCCCTTCTTCCCTGAGCAAGGGTGGTTAGACACAGCTGACTTTTCCTTCCAGGGCTGTAGAGAAGTTGTAGGCAGTGGCAGAGATCCACATCAGTTTGGAGAGAAACCTCAAGATGTAAAGTCTATGTCTTTTTTTTTTTAAGTCTCTTTAGCACAGTCTCAAGAAGAAAATGTTTTTGGTTGTTGACACCAATCCAGTCAATGCCAAAATGCACACAAAGAAACCCTTTGCTGAACTTGTGTTGCACAAACTTACTGCTTACCTAACCTGAAGAAAAATGTGCTTTCAGATGGACTTGTCAATGAGAACACAGTTTTTCACAATTTCTTATTACAGAGATGGTCCTCTCCCACATAGAAACAAAGTGAGTCAAAAAGGGTCCTCCCCTGGTCATCTAGTCTGACCCCGTCTCAGCCAACTCTGTTCCTATAATCCACAACAAGTGGTTGTCCAAACTTCTTCACTGATGGACCTCAACCACCTCCCATGAAACCCGTCCCATTTTCTGGGGGTTCCGGACCCTCAGAGATTATCTTCTAACATTTAACCTGAAACCTAGTTCCTGGAGTTTTGTTTTATTCAAATACATTCTGTCCTTCTGGCATTAGTCCAATTAGTGCTTTGAAACAAACTTATCACCTTTTCAGAATCCTCTGGAAAAACTAGGATTCTGATTCTTTTAATAATACAACTCAGAGGTAGCAAATGGTTGTTAAAAACACACAAAAAGATAAACACAACCCCAGGCAGAACCTGTCACAGTGGCATCTGCCCTTTTTTTTCTGTTAAGTTATGGCCTGCTCACTTTCGAGTCCAATGCAATAAATTCTTGCAGGGAGAGGCATCATGCCTCCCCTCTCCCATTTTTTTTCACAACGTGCTCAATTTTTCTTCCAGGCCTCACAAGCACCAGCTGCCTGTGGTTTTAGAGATAAATCAGAATCGGTCCTCTTCATTAGCTTTGTCTCTACCTCCCCTTCAACATCTTTTACCAAAAATCCCAGTCTGGCTAGGAGATCTCTCCCTGCCAAGTGACAAATTTCCTCCCCCAGTACAAAATCACACAACGGTTTCACCATGTTCATGTTTTACCTGAGCAGGTTCAAATATTTTCACTTTTACCAGATTACCTCCCATTCCTTGAGCCATCAATTCTCCTTTTACCCAACTGCATTCCATCTGGAATCATATTCATTGTGGAGCAGGTAGCTCCAGAGCCTACCATAAATACCATGTCTTTCCCAAATGGTTCCACTTCCTAATCTTTGTCCATCTTCATGAGAGAAACTAACCTCTCCTCTCCCTTCAGCTCACTCAGAGCACTCTCATTTAAAGTGCCCAACCTTTCCACATGAATAGCATCCTGCGCTTAATCCTTCACTCATTCGCCCCTCTTTAGGTGCGGGCTGAAATCCTCTTCCTCGACCTCTTCTTCTACCTTTCCTCTAATGCCATTGCATTCCATTCTCTGAGCCATAAACTCAATTTCTCCTCATCCTCTCTTATCGCATACACTTTCTGTTCCTCTCTCAACAAATCTTCCAACATCCTTGCCTCTCTTCCATCTAACTTCTGCAACTTCTGTTCTGCTTAATATCCTCCCCTGCCTTCCCTGCAAACTAGCACTTCAGCAATATCTATCTGATGGGCTGGATTCCTGGATCCAATTGCCCAATTTATTTATTTATTTATTTTGCATCTGTTGCTTCAGTCTTTCCAGCCACTCAGATGGAGTATCATATTTCTTTTATTCCAAAGACAAAGTCTTATGTACATTAAGGGACTGAGGTACTGCCTCTTTGATTCCCCGGGTCATATAACTCTAATAACTCCCAACTCTCCCTTCTAGAAGCCAGCACAGAGCATCTCCTGCTCTGTTGAGATTTTCTCTATTCCAAACATCTCTAGCTGCCTGTTAGATCAAACTCAATTCTTCACCAGAAAACAAAATACAAGCAAACAAGCAAGCAAGCAAACAGACAAACAAACAAAAATAGCTTGTAGTCCCTGCCTAAAAGGTTTCACCTCTGCTGCAGTCAGCGGGGACTCCACAGACCCAAATTCTCCCATTGTCAAAGCACCTGCCCAAAAGGGGCCATAATCCACTTGAACATCATCATGTTGTTTCCTGCCCACTTCCTGTTTCCTGCCCACTTCCATAGTCTGTCCAAATTCTTTTGGAACTGGAGTACCTGCTCCTCAGTTTCTCAAGCAGGATATCATGGGGCACTTTGTCAAAGGCCTTGCTGAAATCCAGGTATACCACATCCACTGCATCCCCTCCATCTAGCCATCTCGAAACCTTGTTGTAGAATTCCACAAGGTTTTGTCTGGCAGGACCTGTTTTTGTGGAAACCGTGTTGCGTGGTTTCCAGCCTCCCTTGCCTATCTAGCATCACCAGATCTCTCCGTATTGTGAGCCTTTCCATTGTTTTTCCTACAATGGACCTAAGGCTAACAGGTCTGTAATTCCCCATGTCCCTTTTGCTACCCTTTTGTCTATTTGCCCCAGTACTCATTTCCTATTCAGGTTCCTCTTTCATCTAATCCCTCTATCCACCTCCTTTCGCATCCATGACGACGCTCTCCTCCGCCTCCCCGCCTTACTCACTAGAGGTATCGTCAAGGCTTGCACCTCCAAAACCTCCCTTTTGAGTGCCATCCACCCCTCCTCAACTCACTTACCTTCCAGTAACCTATCCCAGGAGACTTTCCCCCATCTGGCCTTCAGTTGGCCAAAGTTGGTCCTCTTGAAGTCCCAGCTTCTAGTGCTCGACCTGCTGCATGTCCCCAGTCCCCTGATCTCAAAGCAAAGGATGGAGTGATGACTCGCAGCCAGAGCTCCCCTAATCTGTACTCCATCTATCAGCTCCTCTCTATTAGTCTATCCCTTCCTGTCATTTCTAAAAAGATGATACCCCTCTTTGTTCACATTCCAGTCTTGCCTTTCATCCCACCAAGCTTCTGTGATTCCCACCAGGTCATACCTTCCTATTCCCAGGAGAGCTTCAAGCTCTTCCTGCTTATTACCCATGCTCCTAGCATTGGTGTACATACACCTCAACTCCTTCCCACTGCTTCCTTTCTTTGGAGTCCCCAGCCTCCTCCTTCCTCCCATCTTCCCTGATACCTGGCCCCTCTATGTAGGAGTCCTGTCAGTCCCTGCAGTGCCTCTAAAACCAGGCTCCCAGAGCCCTGATCCTCTCCCCACACTTGTCCAGTGCAGTCACATACATGGATACAAAATGCACCAACCCATAGTGAGTACAAACAAACCTGAACTCCTATACATTTCAACAAATAATCAATGCTTGAGCACTTAGATGAACACCAGTGCTTATGTTCATAAAAAGATTTTTTTTCTTCCTTGAAAGAACTTCCCCTAGCTCCTCCTCATTGTGGATGCTTAAGCATCTGTTTTAACCCATGCCTTCCCAGGCAGAATTTTTTCTCTGACGCAATACAAGCTTTGAACACTCAAAGAACCTCAAATTCCTTGCCTCAGTCATAGAACCTCTTTTATATATACATATATATATACACATATATATATACATATATATTTAGACATCAAGATTTCTTTTGAGAACTAATGAAAGCCCACCCTCAATCTGTGGCTGAAAACAGGGCTGCTCCAACCTCCCAAAGTGCTTTGAACTCTGCACGTGCTCAGAGGCTTTGTGTGTGCTGCTTCTGCAGTACTCACAAAGTGGTGGTACTTCCTTGCCTGAGCATCCCCCCTTTCTTGGCTCTGTGGAATAGCCAAGCCCACAGAGTCAAGAAATCCAAATTTTCCAGCACAAATTCCCCTGAATTCAGTTGGCCAGACCAAACTCAGAGAAGAGGCTGCAGTTACTGTCTCTTTAAATAATGGGAGTGCTCTTAGCAAGACCATCGCTCTCTTGTTCATTTGTTTTTTCTTTTCTTTACACTTTTCTTCCCCCCCCTTTTTTTTTTTGAAAAAGTACCCAATCACCATTTACTAAAACTCTTAAAATTCTTACTCATACCAAGCACCCCTTGAATCAAGGAATTCCTGTCAAATGCACACTCATTCTCACATGACACACGCACAAAATCCAGAAAAAATTTTTACTGCTCAGGCTAATTGCTAAACATAACCATTCAAATTTCCAAGACTTTACCAGCAAATTTTCAACCGTACACACACATATATACATCTCCATCTTTCATCTGCCCGTCAGCACCCCCCCCCCCCGGGATTTCAAATGCAATTATTTAATCTAACAGGAAGGAAATTTTTCCTACCTAGGAGGGCTGTAAGGCAGATGGAAGAGGCTGGAAAACTTGCAAGACGTTAAAACAGTGTTCCCAGTTTCTGACAAGGAAAAGACATGAAGAAGGGGAGAGCACAAAAGTTGGCTTGAAACTTCCAGAGCACATGGGGAGGGTATAGGGGGGATTTTTAATTTTTTCCCCCCAACAAACTGTTCTGGTTACCCATTCCAGGGACAGCCAAATGAGTTTCTTGCCTCTAAAAGTAAATCTAGAGTCAGGGCCGGCCTGTCGCCCCTCGTTCAAATGGCTGTCCCGAACCTGAACCTGATATTCCCCAGACAGAGCATACCATGAGACATGCACACAACCCTCCCCCCTTTTCTTTCCCCAGAACCAGATTTCCCAGAGCAGATCTACTCACGCCAGGGTGTTCAGAAGATTGAATCCCTCATTGAATCTCCAAAGGCATTGGGCTTGAACTGACCGGTGCCTGCCGCAGCCCCCCCACCCCCAGGCCTCCCAACCAAAGGAATGTTGGAGCGCGCTTTGAGGCCTCGGAGGGGCACCCGCGGTTTCCAGCCGTAGTTCATCCGAAGGCCAAGTCCCCAAAAGAGGGGCTCTTTCTCTGGCGGGGCAACACAGCCCTCGAGCCCCACATTGGGCGCCAGAAAATATTGATGTCCCTGCTAGCCAGGTGACCTACAGACCTCTAAATCAAATGCCAATAAGGTTCAGCAAGGCGGAGATTCATTTGGTTCTTTGATTCAGCTGAGAAAAGCAACCAGGTGTCAGCTTCCCAGTACACAGGCAGGAAGCAACAACACCCCACATTCCATCAACACATCCTTCTTATAGCTTTTCTTACTTTTTCCCCCACACAATCTCACCCCCATTGTTCCCTCATCCAATCACCTCCCAGGGTCTGCCTGACCCTTTGCCCAATCCCCTTACAGGGTCTGCATGTCCACTGCATGCCTGTCCTTGGGGAAGAGGCTCTCTCCATCCAATCCCTTCACAGACAGAGCGTGATCACAGCATGCCAGGCCTTGCGTAGGGAGTTGTCTTCTTCACACTACCCCTTTGTCTGGGGGGTCCTCTTCTTTACACTACCCCCTTTGTCTTACCTTATCTACATTCTTTAGCCCCCTCCTTTTTCTTCTCCAAAGCAAACAGTTATACAGAAAGCAAATGATATTAATTGAGCTAACCAAGCTTTCAAGCAAGTGGCTTTCTACAAAAGTAAATAGCGTTAGTTAAGCTAGAACTAAATAATGTTAGTTAAGCTAATCAGGCTCCTTCAGTATTGCTGTGGGAAACCTGAATTTTGGGTTCCAGTCAGGGAAATGCTGGTTGGGAAGTAGAAATGATACAGTGAGCTAAGTTTCCCTACACTTCCCACTCTCTCTCTCTCTGATTGCAATCTGCTTTTCCTGTTATTCAAGAGAAAAATGCACATTTCAGAACAAAATTTTGAACATGTGTGCTCAAACAACCACCTTTTCCTACAGATTAAGTTACAAAAATCTTTTAAAAGCATTTTAAGGTGCACATTTTTTCTCTTAATTTTTTTTCTGAATGTATGCACTGACTTGGAGTTGTGCAAGCTTTTCCAGACAACTGTGCTCCTGCTAACATTTAGGGTTGCAGAGCGAGAAAAGCAAAAGCTAACAAAACTAAATTCTTGTATCACCCTATTCCTGCTTCTGCATTGCCCCAAAGAAACAGAAGCCAGATATTTGCATACACAACAGTGACTTCTGTTAATAAATACTTTGTCTTTAATTATACACTCCAGATAGTATATTCTGATTCAGTATTCATATAATGTCTTCAGTATACTTACATGGTTACATGAAAAAGGACATTTCTAACATTTGCCTGCTATTACTGATAATTTAATGGTATTTTCAGTAGGTTAATCTCTCCCATCCCACTTCAAAATAAGAAGGAATGTTTATTCCAAATCTCCAGCTGTAAATTAGTTTCTTGCTCTTTAAGTGTAACTCTTTGTTTTAAATGGGTTAAATCCAGAGTAAGTAATCCTTATAGTACATCCACTGAAGTCAATGGGCCCTAGATTAGTTATGACTAACTTACCATGCTGCTATCAATGGATCTATTCTATGCATGACTGTGTCTGGATGCAATCCATTTAAATGTTTCCCTTCAAACATTAAAAAATATACTCAAGGCAGCTTGCATCCAATCTCGTGTGCATGTGTGTGTGTATGTGCACATATGGATCAGCAAAAGAAAAAAAAACCAAACCACTGTTTGGTGTTCCTGCTTTATTAGAGCTGGCATAGCCCCAAAATAAAACAATATCTTGGATACTGTGTGTAATGAGATGTATTTTTAAATTGGTGCACAAGCATAGAAAAAACTATAAATACTCATTTATAATGCCCTGTTATCAAAGTGAAAATGCTAGTAGTAGTAGTAAGAAAAGCCAATTATCATCTAATTTCCATGGCTACCATGCCTTTTCATCACAAATGAGGTTACTGTTAATGCAAAAACATTAACTCCTTCTATTCTCAACCATCTAATAATTCTCCTTTTTAACTATCAAGGTATGTTTAGCAGTTGCATTATGGTGTCTGAGAACTGTATTACTCCTTGAAATAACTTGGTATCACTTCTGTCCCACAAAATGAAATTCGAAAACAATTATAAACAAAACAACACAGCTGTTGTTTTTCATAGTAATAACAACAATCCTTTAAAGACTTGAAAGAACAGTGATCACTACATAGATAATTTCCAGATGAGAAAGGAAGATTATGAAACTGTGTGCTTTAAGTAGTGTTTCTAGTAGCTAAAACACATAAACAGAGTGCTGCAGTTTTTTGCTGGGTTATATCATTTCAGGCTGCAGGACTGTTTCAGACAATGGATTTTATGTGGAATCACCATGGCTCATTCACTCCCATTTTACAAGAGATTCACGTGACAGTTTCATCTTTTTGTATTCCTCCCATGTTTTCCCTGTGCTGCTTCCCTCATCTCTTCTTACTGCAGAAAGCCCAACCTTTTCTTAGGATGAAACAGTGACACCATCTTTGTAGGTATAGATGTTCTTAATGCAATTCCTTCATTTTTTAAAGAGGCATGGTTTTAACCTGCCTGTAAGGCAGATTAATCTGTTATAGGTTCACATGTTCAGTATGATCTGTGCTGCAGGCACTATTTTATCATTTGTCAACCTTTTAAGTAGTGCTCAAATGCTTTTTGGTTATAAACATATTTAGAACTTAAATGTTATAGCATTATACCCTGATGTTATTCTAATGCAATATAGTTTATGATGGAGAAAAACTATTCCATTCACCAGCATTTTAGCATAATGGTAGTGACTGGAAAGAGTTTTTAAAAATTATTTTATATTTTTTCTTAAAACATTAAACGGGTGTAATGGGGTATTATGCTTAAACATGGTTTTAAAAACTTTAAAAGAAAAACAACTCTCCCATCACTTTGCAAAACTGGGAGGCTGGGGGGCACTGTGTGTGTGTGAGTGTATACAAATATTGCATTATTTAATTTAAATGGTTAATTCTTTTAAGACACAATGCTATGCATGTTTAGCTAGAAAAGGGCTTAAAACTCCCAGCATGCTCCAGCCAGACTGAAATCTCTCTCACCCCAAACCTTCATAGCCAGTGTCATAAGAACTGTGGTTCCTGCTTTCGGAACTTGCTCAACCTTGTAGAGGTCCAAAGGGGGCTTTCCGGTGGGCAGGGAGAAGAGAAGCCATAATTTGCTCTGTTCTGCGCCCTTTCTGGTCCTGCACCCCTGCCCCAGACTGCAGTGTGACTCCTGCAGATGGGCTCTAAGTCTCATGCAGAGGGAAACATACAAAAGGAGCACAGAGCAGCAGACACCGCCTCCATCATTCCTCCCACCCTGTTGGCAGCAACCCAGCAGGGCATGGGATCCTCTTAGGCCAGGGAGGCTGAAAGCTCCCAGCTAGCAGGTGGCAATCAGATCAGATGGTATCTTAGGATTAAGTGCACTGTTCAGCAAGGGACAAGTTCTCTCAGCTCAGATACTAGGGAATTTTAAGAAGGAGCTGCATTCTCCTTTGTGTGGATTTTGTTGTGGTTATGAAAAGAAACGATGGCTGCTTGGAGTAGATGCTTTAAACTCAGAGTTATATACCACTTTTTTCCTGTGAAAGGCCAGGGAAATTTAGGTTGAGCTCCCTTGCTAGTCTGGTCCATACCTACTTAGCTTCAGCAATATTACAGTATGGGTGCTGTGCCTGTCTGTCTGTCCAAGGTGCACTGTGAACAGGGCACCATGGCAACAGATTTTCAGCTTTCCCATCACTTGCTCACACATACTATAATTGGCATTCTGGCAATCAATACTCATGGTAGAAGCTGACAGCACCAGTTCACTGTGCAAAATTAAGCCTATTTGACTGGAAAACCGCCACTTTCATGACTCGGGTCTAAATTAGGGTATCTGCTTTTCCTCCTGTGTAAGTTTTGCCTCATTTACCCACTTCCCTTCCTCCTTCTATGTTTGACCACTTACAGGTTTTTGTGTACTGAGATCCATGGGTGTAGGTGAACTGTGGAATTATGTTGCCACAGAATCTGATTCAGCTTTTTCCATAAGCAAAGAAGTATAAGCCCAACAACAGATCTGAAACTGGCAAGCAAGGGCTGTCAGCTGGGGAGTCAGTCTGTATGTCACAGCCAGCTCTGTGGGTTAAAAGCGAACTGCAAGAAACCAGCCCAGGAAGGCTCCAGAAGAAGATCATTTGTTCAAAGTCCAAAGGTAAACAAGTGATATTTCCCAACACATATAAATGTCCGTTTTATGATTAATGTTTTTATGACACTGTATTTTTATGGGAGTTTTCACTTTTTGTAAACTAGCCTGAGAAATTAATGCTGAAGGTGCAGTATAGATGTGAAAGCACCCATTGATGTGCTTGAAAAATGGTGCTGGAGCAGAGCTTTGCAAATACCCTAGACTAACAGAAACAAGTGGGTCCTAGATCAAATCAAACCAGAGCTTTTTCTTGAAACAAAAATGATGAAACTGAGTCTGTTGTAACTTGGGCACATCCTGAGAAGGCAAGGCTCACTGGAGAAGACAGTAATGCTAGGGGAAGCTGAAGTTGTACCACTGCCTGTGAAGCAGAATAAATCTGTTCCACAAGTAGCAAAAAGTTATCCCCAAATACTAATTCCACCAAAAACGGAACATGTATACAACCCTGTCAGAGGCCATCAAGTGAAAGCAGTGGAGAGCTTAGTATTACAACAGTTGTAAATAACACTCAGGACTCTTTGAGTAGCATCAGCAAGGCATCCACCTGGAATAATTTGGAAAATTCAGGAATAAGTTAGTTAATCCTACAGACCAACAAGAATTTCACATCCTGGATTAAGGGTCCTTCTTTGGCTTAAGAAGTACTACCAGTATGTTTGTTTTTAAGACTGAGATGATGCCCCCTTTTAGAATACTATCAAATAGTGCCTGAAGGTATGGGGTTAAAGTTGTAGCAAAGGCTTCATAAAATTCAGCCCAGGGACATCCACTCCTGGTGCCATCTTTAAGATTGTTTAATTCATTCTGAAGGGCTGAGCAGTTTACAATAAAATACAATAAGATAAACTGTACATTAATAAAACAAATAATAAAACAATACATTCCTCTAATAATTGTCCTCACCCCCAGCAAAGGGTCTGTTACCTGAACCTGCATCGAACTGGTGCCATCAAACTGGTGTCCTTTGGCACCATCCTTCAGCATTATCCAAGAGCACCACCCTGCATACCACCTGCTGAAGAAGAACTGCTGTGGGGGAAAGACATGCCCCCACCTGACAGGTGGGCTTGGCTTAGCTTGGCTCTCTTACACTTTCCTGATCTTGCTCTTTCTCCTTCTCTCTTGCCACATCAAGGCCACGGGGGAAGGCAGCAGGGGGAAGAGCGGCAGTGACAAGGATGGTCCAGGACAGCAGACTGATACTATACCGGCTCATGTAATAATAATTTGTGAGATGGATCCAGAGTGTTCCTCTGGCCAAGGCTTTCCCAAACCTTACAAAACCTTTCTGGCCAGTAGGAATGCACAAATATCTCACTGCTAGCCATGAAAGGACTGGTGCTTTTACAAGTATTCCAACTGAATGCTCATTAAATAGTCAAAGCCCCTTGCAAAGCCTCTGCCCCTGCCTCACTCTTCCTGTCACACACTGTCTTTGGGGCCGAAGCAGATGTAGATGGAAGTTTTGCTATTTGCACATCACCCAGGAAGAGGACAATAGGTGGCAATGGTTTGCTTAAAAGGTGTTTCTTGAAAGAGGAAAAGAAGGAGGGATATAAGTGTAACAATAAATATGTAATAAATATGCTGTATGTGTAGTTATGCAAATTGAGATATAATTACAATACATTAAATAGAAATATAATGCACCCATCTTGCCATAGTGGGAAGACTGTGATCAGGTGATGATGTGTCCGCTGCTCAGGCTGCTGTCCAGGTGCTCGTTGGAGATAAAGAACTGCAAGACCCCTGTCTCCTTTTTTAGGGTTTGAAATAGACTGCCCTCCAGAGAATGGCCCTCTGTAAAGTATGACATGGAGCCACTCCTGTGGAGGAATCAACCAGCCTTCACCGGATCCCAATGAAGGGAATGCTCCTGCTGGTGACATGGATTGATATTATCCATCGCAGAGACCTCAGTGGAGACCTGGTCGTCCAAGAATCCCAGTAAGGATTCCCCACCAGAGCCCTGGGTTTACCCCAATCCACCTGCTGCTGCACTGAAGTTCCTGGATTTAGGGAATGGTGGGAGAGCTCACAGGGGTTCGGGAAGCACAGGATGGAAACAAGACCATGCTTGCCTCAGTCCTGCTCATGAGCACTGGAGCACAATGCCTTGGTGGAACACTCAGACCTTTGTAGGGCAAAAAGCCTATGTGTGATTCACCCAGGCAAGCAGAGCCCCTTTGCAGCCCTCGAGGCTCCGACGCCCTTCTGACTTACCCACCTTAAGAAGCCTGGAAATCGTGTATGCCAGAAAGTGTCCACCATTCCTTGTGCTTAATTCCTCTTTTGCATACAATAGCATAAGCTTGGGAGTAACCCCAGCATCTCATTGCATAAATGTGGATGCCCATGATTTCATGAAACCTTTGATCTCTAAAATAAGATCCAGATGAAAGCCTCTCCCTGTTGCTTATTATTGGCAAGAAAGGTTTGGCAGTCTGAAGAGTTAGGTAAATATAGATCTCTGGCCAAGAGAAGAGCTGCCTCAGAAATAAGTGAACTAACACGACACGTTTGTAAAAAATAATTTGTCCAGACCTGCCCCATTTAGAGTAATGCTTTTCAACTTTTTAAAAAATGAAAAATGCTTTTGCCAACTCAGGCTCCATCTTTAACACCAAGTGTTCATGTAAGTATATGCTTTTTCTTTTTTTCTTTTCTTGTTGTCCTCATGAAGCTGACAAGAACTCACTTACCTAAAGAATTGCCTTTGCATGTAGATACTTTCCCAGAGAATCTAAGGTCATTGTGGTCTCCCTATATTCAGACTCATCTGGTGAGTATTGGAGACATGACATTATCTGCAGGAGCACCCAGATTCAGGAACTCCTTCAGTGGGGAACTCCAGTTTGCAGGAATTTCCTATAGCTTCAGCTAAGCTACACATGCACAAACAAGGTATTATTACTACTAGTAGCAGTACTATTATTTTATTCCAGAAGTCCTGCTATGACTAATTTGTAATTGTGAATCCTGGCTTGTTTTTATAAATGTTTAGCTGTACTGGTTTACATTTGTATTTTTGTTTTGAATGCATTTTATTTTGCTATGTATTTTATGTATTTTTATACTTGGTTGCTGTTCATCTTTTTATAATCCTGAAGTGAAGTCACCCTCCCCTGACTCAGAGAGATTCACATCTAAGTTCTTTAAGAACTCTAGGATGAATACTACCTGGGCCTGGTGATTTATTCACTTCTGATTTTTCAGTAAGGTTGAGAAAGTCATATTTTCTTACTAGTATGTGCTCTGTCAGGCTTCTTTCTTGAAAACATCAGTTCAGGCACAGGCATCTGTCCTATATATATCCTAACATAGTCTTGTACTCTGGTCCTTAGATTACATACAGCCTCCAGTTCTTGAGACGAAAGCTCCTCCAATCTAGCCAGAAGCTCACATTGACTGGGTTCAGACATCAAAAAAAGCTTGTATATATTTTGAGTGCTGGTTCTCATTGAACTGTGGGTTGTTGTTGAAATTGCATTGTCATGTTGATTGAACCTAGCTACCCTAAGTAACCATGGTTTGTTAACAATGAACAACTCATAAAGAGAGCTCATAGTTTGTTGTTGGGATGTGAAGCAGGAGTAGTAAACATTTTTAATTTCATTTGAATGGCTGCCCCATAGCCCACAGGGCTCTCTAGGCAGCTTCCAATATACCAAGGAAATACATATTCAATACAAATACAATAATATAATCAAGCAAATACAATATTAACTCTAAGTAATACAAAACCAAACAAAAACTTGAAACAATAATATAATACATTATATAAGCAATAATAGAGTGCAGCTATAATCCCGCCGCTCCCATACACAAAACCCAGTACTCATTGGTACAGTTGGCGAAAGACAGTCACACAACCCCACCTTAACATTTCCCCCACACCAGGACACAGCAAGGTAGTCCTAATGGGCCCATTCACCACACAACCACCTTCTGGAGGAACATTGATCTGCACCATTGTTTCCTCTTTGCTGGTTAGAGGGCTACCAATGGCATTTGGCAAGTTTTGCCCCCACTCCTCGTATTCCCAAGTTTCTTTTCTCCCCGGGTTACCTGCTACCCTGTTTTTAGTTATACATAGCAGCAGCCTGATAGCTGCATTATAACTGTTAACACTGTGATGATTAACTCGTTTGCTGCTTAGTACCACCACAGGAATGAGTGGCAGCATTCCCCTTGAATCTGGTCTTGCTGTTGATTAGACCATATTAGACCTTATTTTATATTGTTAATGTATAGTATTTTAATTGATTTTTGTTGTGAGCCGCCCCGAGGCTTCGGCGAATGGGGCGGCATAGAAATTTTCTAAATAAATAAATAAATCCTCCATGAGATACGGGGCTGTTCTTTGCAAAATTCTCCCTCCCTCTCTTTCTCTGTGCCATATATCCTGTCTTTCTGCTTTATACAGGAAAAAAGTAGATAATTTGTAAAATATGTTTAAGGGGTAACAATGACTGTGGAAGGTTTGGAAGGACAGAGAATAAAATGTCTGTTGCTGCCACTGCTGTACCTGTTCTGACTGCTGCTCCACAGAGGTTCCAGGCTGGTCAGAGGGGGGAAGAGCCTTTCTCCCATGAAACCTGAAGCATCAGTGCAGTGCGTGTTAAGCTGGCTCCCTGGGCCTAGTAACCGCAGTCACTGTCAAGCAAGCATGCTCCTTTCTACATAACCGTTTCCCCTTCTGTCTCCTGGCACCCATGGAGGCTTTCTAAAAGCTTGATTTCAATGGAGGAGGAGAGATTTGGGGGGGATCATAGATATTAGCCTTCCCCTCCCAGGGAGACCTCCCCCTTGAAAATGCCCCTCTCCAGTTAGGATTTTATAAAGCCTCCTTTGCAGGGATGGGGAAGAGCAGAGAAACCTCTTACCAAGTATGAATGAGAGACTTTCAGCTGGGAAAATCTCTTATGGGTGTGGGGCCCAGGGGAGTAGCTGGTGGGCTGTATGGGGCCTACATTTTCCCAGAGGGAGAGAATTCAAAGTTCCCCCTCCCCCAGAAAATAATTGAAGGCATATAGAAGTTTTAGATATCTAACAATAAAATTCTTCCCTGTCATGGATTGGCAATTACCACTCCTTGCAGCAATTCAACAAACTGCCAGAGCTGAGCAAAAATACATATACATGCAACATACTCATGACCGCAGATTCACATCACCAAAGTAAAATAACAGCTGATAACTCTAAATTTAAAACTTTCTGCCTTGGCAGGATACTTCTGAAATGTTAAAACACTGATGCTTTCCTAAATGCAATGTGCACAAACACAATTGTTCAGGGGCTTAAAAACAAACAAACAGTGAAGCATTAGAAGCTCTTGCTGACACTGACATTCCTATTCCAGAATTTGCCTATGAATATTTCACCAGTGCAAAAAAAAGAAAGTATGTGTGAGTGCGGGGGAGGCGCCTTTTGAATTTTGTATGGCATGACAAACATCTATGAATAGTAAAAACCATTCTGATGAGACTCCCTAAGGACAGGCGTCAGTCTTCCCGATATTGCCTTCTACTATTCTGTTTGTCAGCTACAGTTCCTGGCACAGGGGGTTTCTAGAGGAGTAATTCCCAGTTAGAAGAAGGGAGTTAGAAGAAGCTTATTTTAAGACTTCATTAGAGCATGTTTTGTACTCTAATGAAATAGTCAGTATCAAGGCTCTAGAACAAAACATTGATTGAAAGTCTGCTGAAATTCTGGAAAACCTTTTGGGGGGTAAGGGACAAAGTCTACTGACAGGCCAGCCTGGCCTCTATGCTGATGCAACTTTAGAACAATGCTATATTGTGCTGCGGTGTTGATCTGAGCAGCATTTGGAGTGAGGGAATAGCAGCACTCACTAGTCACATCAGCAAGCACTATTTACTCACACAGAAAGCTTCTCTTGGAAGGGGTGCCCACAGAACCTCACAAGACCACCAGTTAGTGCTGCTCTTACACCCCTTGAACTTGTAATATTGGTCCTCAGTGACATGTTTCATAATCCCATCCCACAATTGAAAGAAAAGCTTCCCTTTTAATGGTGAAATTACATTGCCTATATTTTCAAAAGGCCTATACTGGGTTTGTTTTTTTACTGTTCCCCAAAACATTGCCCCCCCCCACTTATTCTGTCTTTGTGTGTGTGCACGTGTGTGTGCATGTGTGCTTTTGCTAAAGATGTCATTCAGCCCAAAGATTTCTACAACATTAATTTATTTGCAGCTTTTTTTTTTTGGTCCTAATAAAGTTATTGGCATCTTGATGATCAGGGTGTGTAGATAATTTGTGGCCCTGCAGTTGTTTTGGTCCACAACCCATCATAAGCAATGGTGAAGGAACATGGAAGTTCTTGACCAAAACATTAAGAAGACCACAAGTTGCCTACTCCTCTATCAATTTTTAAATTTGTACTCAACATGATTCTAGAATGCCAGAAATCACATTTTCTCAAACTTTGAGAGCTGTTATCTGGATGCCCTGTAAAATTCTGTGTTCAGGGCAGAGCAATTGCAAGCTAAAGCCTCAACTGGAAGTAGTCAATCTCAGGGATGAAAAATTATGAACATTTTGATTTTCCTATCATTTGCACACATATTTAAATTTTCTCTTAAAGTGAAAATTTGTTCAAGGAACAAACAAAGAAACCCTAACTCTAACCCCAACTCTAACCAAGGCACTTCTCTTTCCTTAGCACAACCTACAGGGGCAAGAACCACCTGAAAAATTAATCCCAAATGCATTGGAAGATTTCAAGTTCTTCTCTTCCCTATAACAATTTCCAGGATCATTGAGAAGCCAACACTGGAAACAGAAATATTTTTTCCCCTAAACATTGATGTATCATGATGAGCTAGTGACAAGTAGAGAAAGATGCATCCAGAGTTAGGAAAACCACTGAATGTACATGCAAGCACATTAATTTAAATTTTGACTACTGAAGATGCACTGAAGAAAAGCAAAGGTTCTCTCTAGCGGTTTGTAGACTACAAACAAGAGACCCATTGATTCCTGATATGTTCGTGTATAAATCAGGATGATTCTGATTTTTCCATCAAATTAGATTATTTATTTACTCTAGTTTAATCCACCCAAATGCAGGTGTTTTCTGGACAGATTTCAAAAGGCTGACATAATACAAAATGTAACAGTTCGCAGATATATATAAAATGTATACGAGCAGCACAGGAGAGGTACATAAGGGAGGAGAGCTGAACCATCTTCCCTTCCTGTCTTTTCCTGAGCTTCATTGCCCCAGGTGTTTATTTGTCAGCTCAGCTTGGATACTGCAGGTGAACCAAGCTTGGGAAAAAGGGCCTGTAGCAGTGGACCACAGGGAGGTAAAGTGTGGAAGGGAGCGAGCAGCTCTCGTTACACATATGCATCATTTTTGCAAAAATTAGAACTTTGCCACTTCTTTTGGCAGGAATGGGCCAGCAGTGTAATGTAGTCACCTTACCTCTTCTAATCTAATCCTTATAATTTACATATATACATAAATTACGTATACAATTTATAGTCTAGTACTTTATAATTACAGGTACATATTCTATGGGGTTCAGTGGAAAAAAAATACAGAGCAGAATATCTCACCTTCATAGTGCTAAATAGATGGTTTTCATAGTCTTGTCTCTCTCATGTGCTTCAATTTAGTATTTTGTTCTTCAGACTCATCATTTCCTACTACCCATTTAAAGATATGAAATTTGCCATACTGACTCCACAACCTGCAGATGTTGCTGGGATTTCTCTTGGTGACTAATACACATGTGATATCTTGGGAGGAGCTACTGCAGAAAGGCTCCTCATTCCATCGGAGTCATTCAGTCCTAGAGGTCACATGGTCAAGCTCACTGGTAAAGGATGAGTGACAAGTCACCACGGAAGCTGACAGGCTTACAGTGGATTACATGAATAAGTCACAGTATTCACACAAGGTACGTTGCCCAGACCCTCAAATTGTATCCACCATAACGCTTGCTTCAGTGAGGTATCTCACTGTGCTGTCATGCACTTCAGTGTATTTTTATGCTTTGAACAGTAGACAATGGGAGTGCAGTCCTTAAGAACTGCTTTGCGCCTCAAAAGGCCTGCATACTAGTAGACTTTCTACCTTGTTATGAGGTGTTGTCCCTTAAACTGTGCTAAGCTGAAATGCATCATGTGGGATATGCAGCTTAGACGTTCTCTGGGCTCAACCCTGAGCCTGGATTCCCAGGTTTTCGCAGTGGCCAGAAGTGCATTTGCACAGCTTAAACTAGTGTGCCAGCTGTGCCCATTCCTGGAGCTGTCTGATTTGGACACAGTGACATATGCCTTAGTTACATCCCATTGGGATTACTACACAGGGCTCTCTCTGAAGAGTGTTTGGAAACTCCAGCTGGTTTGGAGAGCTGCTGCCAGACTGCAGACTGGAGCTGCCTACAGAGAGCACACGACTCCTCTGTTGAAACAGCCTCACTGGATCCCAGTCTTTGTCGGGGCATAATTCAAAGTGCTGATTCAAAGCACTATACAGCTCTAGTCCAGGGTGTCTGAAAGATGACGTTTTCCCATATGACTATGCTTAGGCTCTGAGATCTTCTGGGGAGGCCCTTCTCTTGGTCCCACCAAACTCACAGGCACACTTGGTAGAAAAGCAGGAGAGGGCCATCTCAGTGGCTGCCCCAAAGCTCTAGAATTCCCTTCCCAGGGAGGCTAGGTTAGCATCCTCCTTGTTATGTTTCCAAAGGATGGCAAAAACTTTTTTGTTCTACTATTTATTATTAATTTATTTAAAACATTTCTATGCCGCCCCATTTGCTGAAGCCTCGGGGCGGCTCACAACATAAAATTAAAATACAATACATTCAAAATATAAAACAAATTAACAATATAAAATAAGTCGCCCTGGCCAGATAAAAGTCATTTGGGAATGAACTGAACCTGTGAGTTGGACCAATTCTATACTTTTACACTGGTTTTAGTATTTTTAATTTGGTATTTAAAAATAATTTTAACACTTTACTGATTTAATCATATTTTTTGTATATTTCTATGAATGTTTTAATGTTGTTAGCTGCCTTGAGCTCTAGCACTAGGAATAAGCAGGATATAAGTAGATGATGATGATGATGATGTGTCTGGACATCACATACATTCTGGTCCCTCATGAAATACAGCCTTCTTTTCTGCGATTGAGGTTGTCAAGGGAAGAAGGAATGCAATCCTGTCAAAGCAATTAGGTTGTTTTTTTAGTGACATGATCCAATTACACTTAATTGACTGGCTGGGTCAGAATATGAATAAGGATGTGCATTCAAATGCACATTGAAATGCATGCCCCCCCTCCATCTGCAGTTAGTCCTGTGTGACTAGATCTTCCGGTTTAGTGGGAAATTTTAAAAACTATGCCTAGTATGTGGACTGGAAGGTAGCAACTAAGTTCTGCTGGGTGTAGACCAGCCCTGCACAGGTGATCATCTACAATGGCCTTACCACATCCAATCCACACTTCCATATAAATCAGTGTCTAACTGTATTGATTACACAACTTGAAAAGCCAGCAACCTACCAAGCACAGAGGGGGTGCTACAGAAGCTCCTCCACTTTGCTTTAGAAGAATAATGAAAGGAAGGTCTTAAATAATATAGAAGAGGTGAAAAGAAATAGAAGGCTAGGCCTTTTGGTCTGCTGGTCCTTTCAATCTGGAATAACAGAAAACAAGCTAGAATAAAGCTCTTACTCTTATTCATCTGTGGAAAGGAGCCAGAACAGAAATAGGAATTCTTTGTAGGGACAATTACTCAATGCACAATGTTTCAGACAGTAAGCCCAGATCAGTTGCTGATGGATGTACAAAGGGAATATTAAAGCTGTTCTAAATATCAGGAACAATATAACAAGTAACTGCAGTTTGAGGCACAATTGTTAAATATATAGGTAGCTTTGCATGCAAAGGGTCAACTAGGAGAGAGATGATTGAGTGAGAACTATCCTGCCAAGCTACGCCCACTGTTTTCCACATCTGGGATCTTCCTTACAGGGAGCTTGTTCTCTCCTTCCATGATCTTGAGTGAGGCATCAAGGGGCTGCCTAGCTCTTTTCCAGTCTTACTGATTTCAGGTGACCCAAAGCTATGTCTGCATGAACTAACTGATATTTTGTATGTAGAATAAGACCTTTTTGTTCTAACTGTAATTCTGGATTATTTTAACCCTAAAATGGCTTCCTGGGCCCTAATGGAGCATGTGGCAAACAGTGTTACAGTGTTCATGGTAAATCTGTGTTGAACCAGATTGCGTGTTTAGAGAATCAGTACAAAGGCTGATTTCTGGGTGGCTTGTTTTATCATTTTCCTTTCGTGAGAGTAGGATAAGGAAACACTTCTCATCACCAAAGAGTAAGATGATGAAAATCTGTTTTCTGAATATTTAAATTTTAAACATTGAAGATGCTTTAAACAGGGGCAGGATTCCCTTCTACTTCCTGGTTTCTTGGCTCCATCTGATTTGTTACCATAGTTACCAGTTCCTTTAAAGGAATCTCTGTATGTCTGCTGAAAAATAAAGGGGCTGTTTTGTTTTGTTTCTGAGCTCAGTTTGAACAAGATGATGTAGAAAAAACAGCTACTAGATATATGAAACTACAGATTTTGTCTAACAGTAACTATAGGAAATAGACAACTCAGTTAAATGTACCAAGCAAAGTCTGTATTTTCCCCACAAATGGATCCACCTATCAGCCACGAATTATTTGGCCTGCTGGGTATGTGACCCCCCACACTCACCTTTCACCTCCCAGTTTCCTAAGATCTAGGTGAACAGCCAAAAAAGTTCGCATGTCCATATGCAATTAACTATATATTTTATTTGGAAAATAGCCTACATTTCAGAAATATATTTTTAGCATAGCTAACAGTCAGCAAGAATAATTATGTCTGCTGCTAATATTAACCTGTATTATTTGGGACCATGGTACCTGAAGGACTAGTAATACTTCCAAAGCAGCCAGAGAGTAAAGATCTGCTAATGAGATATCCTAGCGGTTTTTCCACCCACTCTGTTTAGGCAGGCAAGTGGACATCCAGAAAAGCTGCAGTGCGACTGGACCCTGCCTATGAAATGTCCTCTGTAGCTCTGTTTGCCTGCTGTCCACACTGATGTCTTTCAAATGCTGGTTAGAAATATTTAAAAATGTGGAAAGTTTGCAAAATGAAAGTGATGCTGCTGCTGCTGATGTATGGAGTTTCCATAAAGTGTGAGTGAGTGAGGCATGGCAGCTCCACATTAAACACAGAATACAGATGCAGTTGGTATGTTCCTTCCTTCAAATTATTTTTATGAGGATTAACAGAAGCTAAAAAGGGGAGAAAGAAACCCTGGTATAGATATCCACTTCCACCTTGAACTTTTGATTGTTTAGGCTTTCTTACCTCCACACCTGTTTAATTTAGGTTCAGATCTGAAATACTGCCCTTTATGTTCCCCTATTTTTTGCCATCTGTTGACACAATTCAGTTTGTGTTGCCTGGGTAAAGTCCAGCTGGCACACACAGAAGGTGAATACATTGAGATCCCCTGATATTGAGGACTCTGGTGGGGAAGGAGGGGGTGGGAAACAACATTACTCAAAAAGTCTTATTCCTGTGTACTAATAGCCTCTAGCTGGGAAACTATCATTGCATTCAATGATAGAACCAAATGTTATCAATGCACAGGCATCCTCCCCCCCCCCCACTCCATTACACTTGTATATTGTAATCACAAACAATAGAAAATGCATAATACCAATCACAAAGATAACAGCTGCACTCTGGGGTCAGGCTTTGCATATTCCTCTCCTAACAATGGCAATGTGTAACGCCATCTCAGCACCCAGCTCTGAATAATTTATTTATAGATGCTGTATCTATTTCTAGAACCTAAGAATGCCTTTTCATAAATGGAAGGTCATTGCGATCACTGTGCACAGCAGCCCCAAAAGATTACAACTATCTCTTCTTAACAGCTAGGATTTAAATTGCCAGGGGAAAATACTGCAAAAAAGGAAATAGTGTTAACTCTGGCACTGGTTGTTTTAAAAATGTTGACATTTTAATAATAATGTCTCCAATTCATTCAGAAGCGGGAACAGTCAAGTAAGAAAAATTATAAAAATGATTAGCTTTTCTCTTGCTATTTAACAGTACAATCCTGAGCATGTCTACTCAGAAGTAAAACCTGCTATTCAGTGTGGCTTAGTGCCTGTGGATACAGGATTGCAGACTAAAACAGTCTGTTGTTCAAATGATCATTACAGGTTTTGCAATTTCTGGGAAACCTAACCAATGAAATCATTAACTAGGCATGAAAGGCCTGTGCAAAAGTTCTATTTAGTTTTGCAGGAATGTTTCAAAACTTAGAATTTACCAATTGTACATTTTTTACTAATACTGAGAACCTAATTTATGCTATAGTATTCATTTTACCATCTTAAATGGTAAGTTCTTTAGTAACTTTTAATGGTTTGATAAGTAAACATATTTGTGTGTGCGCGCGCGCATGCATGTGTGTGCAGGGGGTATATGCATACACCCCACTCACTGACAATAGTGCAATTTCTCAAATTAATCAACAAATAAATTTACTTTTACCAATTTGATCACCTTGACCTTCTTGACTCTTGTAATATGCTGTATGTGGAAATGGTCTCAAAGACTGTAAACTGGAACTTTCAATAGTTCTAGAAACCTGCAGCACAAGTATTGTTTATATAATAATTGAATGGTTTTAATAATTTATATTAAATAATACATTAACATTAATACATCAATATTCAAAGAACATCACCATTTACCACTATAGATGTTGCAAATCTGTGAGTTTTACTTTCTCCTGCATTCAATTTTTCAAATTTTCAAGTTGTTTCAATCTCTGTATGGATAGGAATTTGTGAATGTTGTAAGAATTGAGGACAAAGTACTGAAACAAAATTTGTACTGGCCAAATTCAATTGGTACAGCGATTCCCAGTGTGGGGAGGACCATGATGTACCTGCTTCTCATATAACTGTTAAAGATAAGGAGACTATATACAAGAGGTAACAGCCCTAATTCAAGATTAACAGGGCTGAATACATAAGGAATCAAATCTGTATTTGAAAGTCTTGAACCTGAACTGACATATCTACCAGTTTTGTATATCTCACATTTGATCTTCTTTTATTCTCAAGTTCTTTCTGTCCCAGATATGCACACTTTAGTATGTTCTGATCAAAAAATGAACCTGCACATAATTTTTAGCCCTTTTGACTCAAAACAGAAGACAACCTGCAGCTGTTCTACAGGGAGGGAAGAACCTTGAATCTTTTTGTTAAGATGTTGAGTGACTCAGCTGCCTCTTGCTCATTCCTCTTCGTACAATAATGTCACCAAACAACAAGCCCAGCTGAGCACAGTTGGGTCCCAAAAGGTGTTTTGCTTTGTGTTTAATTGAGAAAAATAAGGGGAAATCAAAGAAAATGCACAATTGCATAATACAAACGAAGCCATAAATTAGATTTAAATTATCTATATAGGATTGTCTGGATGATGTTATAAGGCATAATTTATGCTGGCA